CAAGCAGAAAAAAAGCAAACCATGTTGTTTCTTTTTCCAACCATACTTATTTAGTCATGAAGATGTAATACTTAGATGCAGAGACAAATAATTTATCAATATATTGCTCAAACTAACATGAGAACTTACCTCATCAGTACCAATGTCGAGAGCTTCATCGTATGAATCTCATGATACTTTTGGTTAGTGCGTAAATCTTGAAGAATTTATCGTTTTTTGGTTAGATGCTGATGTCAACGACAAACTAGCAACAATGATGAACGTTCAACCGTGATAAGAAGCATTCATTACATTATTATCTATTTGAAGATAGTCAGCGATGTTGATAAATGAATTAAATTCATCGAAGAATACAGCACTCAGAAGGTCTTCCTTGTGATTTCCGAATTAAAAAGTAGTGAAATATCTATTTTACATACATATTTACTTTTTTCTGCTTTGACATGGAAAAATCTGTCAAAGTATGGTTGATAACTAAAGTACACCAAAATAGAACAAGAAGTGTTTTGAAAATCATATCATCAATTTCTACAGGATGACCAAGGCGTATGGATATAATAACACCACCTACTACGTAGATTGCCTAAAAGAAATTATTCCTTCAAGCTTTACTATAAAAATCCGGATTGTCTTGCCCATGATGTTTTCTTATCGTTTTATCTTTCTCTTTCGCTACATTCCCATGAAATATAGTTCGATATATTTTCAATCCTTTTGCGACAATTATTATGCGGTGAATAGTTAAAATTTCAATAACTCGTTATTTAGTAAACTCACATTCATTTGGTTGACGTAATCGAGTTATCAGTTAATAAGCACTGACGACTACAGTGAGGAGAACAACTTGTTTGTAGAGTTCAATACATTAAAAAGTTTGTTAGCGTTTGCCCTGATGGGGCTAAAACGCGGAACTCACATCAGAATACTGCATTAACAAATAAGAAAGCTTTCTGTGAAATCTCAACATAATCAAAATGTGAAACTCAATGGACTCTTTTCACATGGACTTGAAGATGCTTATTATATTCATTATAATTTGATAGCAGATTCAAGGAGTATTAACTTCAAATGTCTAAGACCATCTATATATAAATGTGGTCAATGTACCACACTATGGGAGAGAAAAACACAATTTGGGCTTCGGGATATAAAATCGATTAAAAAACTCAAAATTCTTTAAAACTCGAGTAGTCATAGACCCAAAAACATATAATATAAAGGTCTAAAGGTTCAAAATTCTATGGCTGTAAAATGCATGATATTATGATTGAAAAATTTTGTATTAATTCATTATTCTATGTTATTCTAGGACCACAATAATTTTGGTTAGAAAATCCACTTTTAAGTAGCGTTATATGTAAGGAAGGGATATCTATGAACGGAGGGAACTTCTCGAACTCGAATTCGAGCTTACATTCATTATTTTTATAGTGAATTCCACAAAAATAATAGTATTTCTTCCGGACGAGTTTTAGCGTATTTTTTTCTTGAGTACATGCAATTGGTTCAATGTTTGAAGCAAGACGTTCTCTACAGCATGAAGAAACTTTGAACATTGAAAAAACCAATCATTACATTCACCAAACAAAGATTCGAATTCGTTTATCTGATTCTATTTACTTCTGGGTTCTCTCATGATACCTTTATTATCAAGACAAATGTATCTACTCTTCTCTAAATTGACGAACTCAACCACACGTACGACACTAATCGAACCATTCGGTGGCATACGAGACAGTTTTATCAATCGTATTATCAATCGAGCTCTGAGAACAGAAGACATGTGATATCATATTCATTTTGCAATTCTTTCTTCTCGAGTTGCACCAAAAGCTTTCTGATCTACATAGCTCATACAAAGAAGAACTCAAAAGCCTAGAACAGTCGAAACTAATTGTTTATCGAGAGCAATGTTTACCAATAGAAGAAGTTGAACGACTACATAGGATGTAAGATCAAATTTTGGCACTAAATACTTTTATCTCAAGAACGCTCGGAACAAATCGAAACGACTCAATGATGAAGAGTCAGTTATTTTTTAAATATGATTAACACAATTGAAGAAGTCAACAATGTGTAGATCCTTTCCCTTTGTGCAATAGGTGAAACTTTTGGAACTCTCGAGCAATTATACGAGTTTTATGACTATGTAGACTTCACTGAATGTAGGTTTGTTAACTTGTTCAGATAGAGCCGCTATGTATCAACAAACATTAAACTTGAATTATATTGAAAATATCAGAAAAATTGAAACAATGTTGGTGTCAGAAGAGCAACTCGCTGAAATAGACTGTAAGATTTATTTCGAACTTACATATTATATGTACTGTAGTTATCGAGATCATTCTATTTTGATTGCTAGCGAAAAACCATTTCTTTACCCAAATTTATCAAAACGTTGCCTTCTTCTGGCACGACTTTCACTAGCAAGAAGAAAAGAAGTGAACTTCGATGGTCAAAGTTTCAGTATAACTTTAGCATGCTTTGAACAGTCATTTCAAACAAAGCTGAATGAGAAAGACACAGATTCGTCAGATACCATCATATCGCATAGCCTATTTACAAATACTCTATATTATATTGCTTTAATCGCAAAGAAACTTGATGATCATGCAAAACGTCTAGAGCATATGATCGAGATATTGAATATTGACCGAGAAACTTGCCAGAGAATCACCCCAATTTTACCTGCTAGTTACCTACATGTTGGACAAGCTTTTGTACGTGAGAAAATGTGCATGTTTATATCTTGGAAAATTTCTTGCATGCAGTTGAACTACATGGACTCTATTTGTCCGCTAATGGACCCAGGCTAGCTACAACTTGTACAAGTATTGCTATGATACGCACAAGTTCGTCTACTTTCGCAAATGCTGGACATGGGAGAGAAGAAGAATTGAAAGTACTATGCATGTATATGTGTGAGTGGAGGTTGAGATGTGGGCATGATCGTGGGTAAGCGAGTATAGGTAGCCCCTTCGTGTATACTAACACTCGGACTCATATTCACGCTGAACCCCACTCCCCACATCTACACCTTCACCCACACCCACATCCTCAGAAGCTGATATTAAAGTTATAAAATACCCATCTATGATTTACAATCTTTTACAAAACTTACCATGAAATTCCTAGAAATCGCAGCAAGTGTGTAATCTTTAGGGATTCTAATGATTTGACTAACTGAGAGGATAATCCTATACCTTCAATTTCTATCATTAAGTAGCTATCGATTCGATCCTTCTATTAAAGCATTTGTCAATAGAGAACATGAAATTTACCATTTTGAGTCGACATTTCAAACATAGTCTGTAAAAAAAAAAACCAAAAACCCCAGAGAAGCATCTGAAACCATGCGCATCCTGCAAAATTCTACAGAACATAATACTTTCTGTCCTGTAGAACTTGTTCTGAGGAGTTCGTTGCCTTTCTGATGCCGATACCCCTGACTGAATCGTTAGATCGTCCACACTTCCGTGGATCTCCATCAATTTTTTGAATAATTTATTCTTAATTACACAGCAAGCTTTTTTTAAACAAAACATTTGACAGAAGTATGTATGCTACTTGTGAAGCGAGTGGAAGCCAATTGAACGATAATAATGTTATTTACAGTAGATGAATACAGAGTTGAAGATATGGACGTGGATGTATTAAAAAAGAAGTACGATCCACACTTACACCTAATAATTTGAATCGATCAGCTTGGATCCATTTTGTTAGTTGGTTCTTTAGTCTATTTATTTTCCTCCATTGTATTTTCTAAATTATCTCGAATATTTTAATTTACAATCTGAATTTTGGATGTTTTTATTGATTAATATTCTTTAATTTTATCGAAATATTTATCATCTATTTGTATTTCTATCGTGTCCTTTTCTCTTTTGGCATGGCCTTTTTGTTCTACATGATTTTTTGTCAATTGTAATTTTCGAACATATCGATTCTTATTATATTTCACATCATTCTTCTGCTCGACATTGATTCAAACATTATCATCAACAAGTAGTCCATTGAGAGCAATATGGAAGACGGTAATTATGCTCTTTTCACCTCATGAGGCTTGTTATGTTTTGATTAGTGTTCGAAAACTTTCTCGACAGTTTTTTTTCTTGATCGAAGACTGTCGAATAAAATACTATAGTTTTGGAATGTTTTCTGTTGAATATCACATCAATGATTATTTTCAAATAAGATATAGAGAATATCTTGTCATTAGCTATAACCTTCAAACCGTCTGATGAGTCCTATATCGTCAGAATCAAAATCATCATCGTAGCAGCTTTATTATACAGTCACCTTCAACTAATGACTTTTGTTTCAGTGAGTCAGACATCCAAAAATTTTACTTCGAGAAGGCTACCCTCTCAGTATTTGTTGTTTGCAAGACGGACGAATTTTTTTTCTTTTCTCTTTTAGTTTTTCCTCCTTCGTAAGAATAAAAAAATAGCATAAGCGTCATTTGGTTTTGTTCTGTCTCTTCCTTGCACAGTTCGTCACTTCTCACGTCATGTCTTTCGTACGAAGCAATGAAATAAATATTTCATCGAGTTACCAGTAAGAAAATTTGGTGTAGAAATAGGAGAATTTATTGATGTGAATGAACATCTATTGTAGGGATGAATCACTTACCTTAATTTAGAATTGAGTCCAGTATCGTTGTTTAACCCTTAAGATTGATAGAAAAAAATGTCAGCAGTTATCAATTCATTTTATAATATTAACTGTTAACGAATCATTCAATAGTTGATATCAACGTTAAGTTTTTTTTCTATTTATCACTTAATTCACATAAAATTAGGCTAAACAGAGATGAAGTCATATTTGAGATTTTTGAACGAGATTTGATTCAAATCATGAAGGAAAAATATTCAGTGAATCACTGAAAATTCTTTTCTTTTTTTATAAATATTCATATGAATTCATTTTAGATCGAGATTATTCAAAATATTCTGAAAATAAGTTACATAATTCGAGTGATTTTCTTTTAAGAGAAATAAATGGCTGTAGTAAATGAATCAAATTTATGTTTAATCTGCAATAAATCTTCAGCTAAATACTTTTGCATTGGATGTAAAAAATATTTTTGTCCAAAGGATTTCAAAGAACATGAACAACAAGTATCGATGAAATTCGATAATGAAATAGTTAGATCACATGATGAACTTCTTGATCAAATACAAAAATTAGAAAAATCAAATTATTTGTCATTGGATCTTTTCGATCAAATTGAACAATGGAAAAAATCAACAATCAACAAAGTAGAAAAAGCTGCAGAACGAGCTCATGATAAACTTAGCGAACTAATAGATAAACAAAGAATAAAAATAACAAAACAACTAGAACCAATCACAAAAGAAATTCGTTGTCGCCGAGAAGAAGAAAACTTTCTGGAAAATGATATTGATCGACTACGAAATCAAATCGAGGAAATCCAACAAATACTTGAACAATTTATTCGAAAAGATATAAATAAAACCATTATTGTTGACAATGATCAAATTGATTGGAATCGACTCATCTACGTTAGAGAAGAACAACAAAATGGTGAGTATATTGAATTAAAATATAGAAATTCTCAAACGAATCCATCAAATCTTGTTTATCGTTCAATCAAACTTTTTCTTTTAATTTAATATATTTAAACTAATTTATGGATAGAGTAAAGTTACTTCAACAGAGACACAATGTTCAAGAAAAATGAATAATATGTCATTTGAAATTATCATTTTGAAACAACTGAGCAGATTTCCATTCGAAATTAAACATACTCAACTTTCTGAAATATCATTTCGAATTCCAATAGGAATCATTTCTAGAATTCGACACAGAATAGTCATTTGAATACGATAGGTTTCATTGTAGGAAGGAGTTTTACTATTGAATATTTGAGATTACAAGACTCTTAAAATGTATACCAAAGTTCATATTTACTATCTAGTAATGGTTGACTTGAGAATGGTCTAAAATTGATATTCATGTTGCATTGATTAGAACGGTTTTTGTTTCATTTTGAGACATTCGATATTTTAGGAACTCGAATCGTTTAATAAAATCTATTCGAATAGAAATTTTCCTTGTTCTTCTATAAAAAATTGAGAAAACTTCGATGAGATCTTCTATCTGTTCATGAATTTCACTTTTTTAAAGCTGTTTTCAATCGTAAAAGTTTCACTTTCGACAGCGCGAAGAGCATTGGCTCTATTCATGTGGACTTATTAACTCTAATTTATGAATATTTCGACTTAAATCTAAATAAACAAATTCAACGAATAGAAAGTCTTTTCGAATTGTTTTATTAAATATCATGTTCTTTGAATTTTCATTCGTTTGAAAACAATTTCATCAACGAATTATTGAATAACGAACAAATAAACAATAAATTCAACGTTTCTATGAGAATCGAATATTCTAGTCATTATAAATCTGTATACAATAGGAAGAGCATTTTCACACTGAATGATAACATCTTTAAAAGAATTGAGGCAACATTCAAATATCTTTATTGAGAATAGTCTAGTATATTTCTCAGCATACTCTAAAAAACTCTATATGATTCTAGTTGCACCGACATCAAAATATTTTCCATTGTATTTGACTAAGTTCGCCAAATTCTTTATTGAATTTTGTTCATCGAAGGAAATGAAATTCTTTTTATTCTGAATTAGAATCGAATAAAAAAACAAGCTTAATGAGAAATTATATTAAGTAGCATTTGGAATATGAATAGATTGATGCTGTAGAATCACTTGCTATTTAAAAAAAACAACAACAATTTTCAAAATACTACAACTATTGGCATTGCAACCGATCGTAGAATTTCTCATACGACGGAGTTTCATTCTGAAACCTCCTCAGCATGAAATAGTCAAGAATTTTTTCTATAGCTTTCAAGGTTGAGAAAGAAATAATACAAAATATTGAAACAACTCTCGATATTAAAATATAATGATTCCGTTTTACTGAATCTTCTGTTCTCAACTCACAAAGTATTATTTGTATTTTTATTTAGAACAGAAGGATATTTATTTACGAAAGTAAAATATTTGAGGAATATTTTAAATTTGATAATATTAAAAAAAACATTGTATTGACGTGCCCACTACGAAATGATTTGATTTTAAACTAAATTATTGATGAATACACTGTTGACGAATGAATTCTTCAAAAACTGCTCTACAAGTCTCATAGATTACTGAGCTCAATTCGAATATTAATCAAACTATGCATTTTCACCTGAAGAGATAATGAAAAATCTTATTCATCGGTATCGAAGAACAAATCGTTTAGTGATGATTCAACTTTCTCTTTGAAACAGACGAAAAGGAAAATGACTCCGTTTTGCGATTTCTATTGAGTCTCATCTAATAAAAAAAGATATTTTCAGCAATCTGTTGAATTTTGAGATATCATGCATCGATACAACAGAAATAGTTATTAAAGCTCAACAATAACTCAGTGAAGTTATTCATGCTTCTACTTTAACCCAACTTAATCATAGTTAGATTTTTTTTCTTCTATAATATTCTTGCTCGTGAACTGTTCTCTGTTCGAAGGCAAGATTGATCTTGACATTCTCGAAAAAGGATATTCGCGTCTAGTATTTTAAAAACTTTTGTCTTATCTATGAGACTTGGAACGATCAGAAAAGTTTAGAACGTTTTCATTACTATTTTCTTACATTCCAAATATTGATCTGGTTGATTTTATGAAAATCAAGCTGGATAAAACTTCATCAAGTGTTTCATAAAATGTCAATCATATGTTCTTCTAAGATAATTTATACCATATCAGTAGTTCGTAAGTTCAATTTTATTTTCGTGAGAATGTTGACGATATGCAGTTTTTATTTTTTGAGAAACAGTTGAAGAGAGAAGTTCAATTGAATTAATGTCATAACAACATTGCCGAGAAAGTATTTGATCGATTTCGATCCAAATTCAATAGTCATTCCTATCATATACTACTATTTTCAAGAATTGTCTATTCGAAGAACGCATTACTGTCAAATTGTTTTCATTGATTGTGGTGATCAATCCTTCTACTATCATTTTTCATCAACGTAAATTTATTCAGCGCCAATGAACAAATTGTTTTTATTTCAGCAACATTACTACGCAGTGCAAACCCGAATGTAAACGTCAAATGGATACAGAATGGTGTTACTGTTGCTGGAGGAAATGGATATGGCAGTAGAATGAATCAACTCCACTTTCCATGGGGTTTGTGTGTTGATAATAATCACACTATCTACATTGCTGATTTTTACAATCATCGTATTGTGGAATGGAAATGTGGTGCGACGACTGGTCGAGTTGTGGCTGGTAGTAACGGACTTGGAAACCGTCTTGATCAGTTCAACAGTCCGAGAGATGTGATAATCGATAAACAAACAGATAGTCTTATCGTTTGTGATCGTGGCAATCAAAGAATTATTCGATGGTCTCGTCATAATGGTACAAATGTGGAAACGATCATCACAAATGTTGGATGTTTTGGCTTGACAATAGATGATGATCGATTTCTCTATATTGTCGACCATGACAAACATGAAGTCAGACGATATCGAATGGGAGAAAGTCGAGGAATAGTGGTTGCTGGTGGAAATGGACAAGGAAATCGTCTTGATCAGTTGAGTCATCCGGCATACGTCTTCGTCGATCGGTATCATTCAGTTTATGTATCAGATTACAGTAATCATCGTGTGATGAAGTGGATGAAAGGTGCGAAACAAGGCATTGTTGTGGCTGGTGGTCAAGGTCAAGGAAATAGTCTTACACAATTATCAAATCCTGGCGGAGTTGTCGTGGATCAATCAGGTACTGTCTATGTGGCTGATGGTTGGAATCATCGAATAATGCGTTGGTCTCAAGGAACCACAGAGGGTAGTGTCATCATTGGTGAGGATGGTTGCGGCAGTCAATCTAATCAACTCTATTATCCCACTGGCTTATCATTTGATCGAGAGGGCAATCTCTATGTGAGTGATCAAGGAAATCATCGCATACAAAAGTTCAACATAGATTGAAATTGATGGTTTTTGAAAATTCACATTACTTTAACGTTCTCATTATACTCTTGAACAAATGATTGAACAATAAAGTCATTTCGAATCAGACCATCTTATGCTGAGAGGGAGATCATCATGATTCAAATGGAATAATGTCGTTTTCTGTCGAGTTCTATCAACGATTTTTGTTTGAATATTCTAACGTTATCTAAATGTTCTGATTTGTGGCAGAGTTAAAACAGTTTGTGCTGGTCATTGTGAAACTATCGATCTTGAACTTTGCTTTTAAAATTGGCAAAAATCAACGATGAGTTGAACATCATTTGAATGAAACAGTTTTAACTCTGCTATATGCAGTGAACAATTATTTGAAAGCAAACGGAAATTCAAAAACAATGAACTTCATCATGCAAAAATATAAAAACCATTGCTGACAAAGAAACGTACTGTTTGCAAACGTTGACGGTTATGAAGAAAGCAACAGACCTTTTGCTTGTGATTGCTGTTGTGAATGTGAAAGACAACCATACAGAAATACTGTGATGAATATTCATAAAAAAGTGAGAAAATAATACGTTATCACAGAATCAATAGTCAGATCATATTGTGACTGGGCGAAGGATTTGTTTTTTTTTTCGATTGTTGGTCTGATGTATCAGAACCTTTTACTCGGCGTCTTTAGACGGATTGAACACGGTTGAGAAAGTGGCTCATGTCGAAAGTGATGAACAATATTGAGAAATGATTGCATAAATTGTACCGATCATTCGCTCAAATGGATTTTTCGATTATAACAAGTCGTTCTCCACTACGTACTGTTATAAATCTTTGAAGATCCTATTGTATTACTAATAAAGATATCAAATATTGGAATAATCTATCATTGTTCCACCAATAAGTTTTTTCACTAACATATAGAGCAACGATGGTCAGATGCGTAAAAATAATCGTCTTCACATTTTTATTTCATGACCAATCGAATTAGGTACATATTGATTGAAAACGAAAGAAGATTGTTTGATTGATTTTTAAACGTTCGAAATAACACTGTCTATTTTTAATTAAAGTTGCTGAAATAAAAAGAGAAATTCAAATGAAAATTGAAAAGGTCATTCAGATGATTCTTCATTGCACGATGAAACATGGTAGGCTATTGTAATGGAAATCAGAACTTTCAACTTCCACAG